CACAGCTGGATTGCGAACGCTTAGCGGCCTACGATGTACACCTGCGCTATGCCAAAAGGGNTGAAGCTGTGGCGCAGAGTTCTAGAAGCTTCTATCGGGTGCTGCGTGTTGCTAGCTATTCTTAGAAGCAGACCGGTGGTGGATTCGGTTGGCTTCTCGCTCGAGGTATCCCTCAGTCACCACAATCACGAACATGGACCCAGCCAGCCAGGCGCTCGCGCAACGTCTGCCTGAGGGTGTGCGTGATACATGTGCTGCTCGATCGGAGCACGGCAATGTCCCTGTCTCAACTCTGATCCACCGTAGGCTTGGACGACGCTCGCGAGCAGAGCAGGCTCAGAGTCAGCAGTACTTGACTCGAGAGGAGGAGAAGGCGCTTGTAAAGTTCCTGCTACTGATGTCTAGTCTCGGACAACCTGTGCGCGTTAAGTATCTTCGCTCGCTAGCGTTTAGCATAGCCCGCCAGCGGTCCACGAAGAGCGAGTCGATCAAGCGTCCAGGGAAGAACTGGCCACGAGCGTTCGAGAAGCGTCACCCCGAACTCCAGGCGAGAAGGGTCAGATCGATAGACTGGAAGCGCCACGGAAGCAACATATATGAGAAGATAGTAGAGTGGTTCGATGTGATTGGTCAGGTACTACAGGATCCACGCGTACTGCCAGAAAACGTGTATAATATGGACGAAACTGGAGTCATGCTAAGCATGCTTGGCTCCGCAAAAGTCNTAGTCGGCAAGGACGATCGGCAAGGTGGTAGGGGTGCGGGTGTCAAGCGCACTATGGTAACTGCTATTGAATGCATCAGTGCTGACGGAAGGGCCCTCCTGCCACTTATTATATGGCCAGCATCGACCCATCGCAGCATGTGGACCACCCACAACACCCCTGGATGGCACTATGCGCACTCAGAGAATGGGTACAACGACTCTAAGATTAGCCTAGAGTGGCTCAAGCGCGTGTTTGACCCCCAGACACGTGAGGGAGCAGGTGGAAACCCACGAGTTCTGCTTTACTAACAACATTATCTTGTGTCGTCTGCCTTCTCACACCTCTCACAAGCTGCAGCCATGCGATGTCGGCCCTTTTGCACCTTT